GGAGAATGACCTGTCTCAGCTGTGAGCTCCACCAACCCAGCTCCCTGCTGACCACAGTCAGGGTGCCCGTCTCTTTCTCCCTTCACACTCACCACTCGGCCTTTGTACGTGCTGTTCACTCTGCCCCGACACCCTTTCCTCCCTTTCTTCACCCAGCTCACTCCTTCACAGGCTTCAGAATCCTGCTCAAATGTTACTTCCCCTGAGAAGCCCTCCCTGATTACCCAGGCTGCCAGCCTCCATAACCCACTTTCAACCTAGGCCTCATCTTTTGACCACGGTTATGAGCATGCTTTTTGTCTTTTGGTCCAGCGAGTTTTTTTTTTTTAATTGTGGTGATAATCTACACAGCAAAATTGTCACCAATTCAGCTATTCTCATGTGTACAATTCAGTAATATCAATTACATTCTTCAAGTTGTGTGCTCATTTTCACTATCCTTTTCAAACCATTCCACCACCATCAACAAAAACTCACTGCTCCCTAAACAAAAACAAATCTTCCCCTTTCTCCCTCCTTTCCACTTCTGGCAACCACTAATAATCTTTGGTTTCTATTTACTTGCTTATTTCACATAAGTGAGATCACGTAAGTGTTCTTTTGTGACTGATTTTTCACTCAACATGATGTTTTCAAGGTTCATTAGCATTGCAGCATGCAGCAGGACCTCATCTCTCTTCATGGCTGAGAGCACTGCATTGTGTGGATGGCCCATATTGTGTTTATCCGTCATCTGTTGGTGGACATTTGGGTCCTGTCCACCTTTTAGCTCTTGTGAAAAGCGCTGCAGTCAACATTGCTGCACAGGTTTCTGTTTGTGTTCCCGCCTGTACTTCTTCCGGGCAGGTACCTAGGCTCGAGATGCTGGGTCATATGGTAGCTCTCTGTTCAGTTTTATGAGGAACTACCAAACTGTTTCCAGAATGGCTGCACCATTTTGCATTCTCAATGAATAATTTATTTTAGAAGGATCAGCACAAAGCTGGTCCCTCTGAGGCAGAGGTTAAAGATGTCCCAAATGTTTAACTTTTAAAATGGCTATACTATTCCATCATCTCTAATATCGGCTACTCCCTCTTTTCTCAGTACTTTATCTCCCTTTGGGTTCACTAATTTGCTGCAATGTCTCACAGAACTCACAAACTGTATTTACAATTAAGTGGTTTATTAAGGAAGTAATAGGGTAAAACTTGGGATCAGGAATGACTCAGAAGTAACAGGAAGTCAGGACCCAGTTCTTGATTAGGACAGCTTCTTCTTGCCCTCTGCTTCTAGGCCCTGCTGGGGACCTTCTAGGGCAAGTGCTACAGCTCTTAGCCCCTTGGGTTGGCAAACCCAACTGCAGCTGTCTCTTGGTTCCTGCTGTCTTGCACTACTATCGTGCTTGCAACTCATTGTCTTCCCTGTTACAACTCCTAGCTCTAGGAGGTTCTCAGTACGAGGACCCCAGACCTTCTTTCTTGATAGTAATGAGACCCTCTCTCTGCTCTGGGATTGGCTTTCTTTTTAAAGCCTAGCAGATTGGCAACCATATGACTATGCAAAGGCATTTGATTGTGTGGATCATGACAAATTATGGATAACTTTGAGAAGAATGGGAATTCCCGAACACTTGATTGTACTCATGAGGAACCTGTACCTTGACCAGGAGGCTGTAGTTCAAATGGAACAAGGGGACACTACATGGTTTAAAATCAACAAGGGAGTGCATCAGGGTTGTATCCTTTCCCCACACTTATTCAATCTATATGCTGAGCAAATAATCCAAGAAGCTGGACTATATGAAGAAAAACATGGCATCAGGATTGGAGGAAGAATCGTTAACAATCTGAGATACGCAGACGATACAACTTTGCTTGCTGAAAGTGAGGATGACTTGAGGCACTTACTGATGAATGTTGAAGAATACAGTCTGCAGTATGGATTATGTCTCAATATAAAGAAAACAAAAATCCTCACAACTGGACCAATGAGCATCACAATAAATGGAGAGAAGGTCGAGGTTGTCAAAGAATTCACTTTGCTTGGTTCTACAATTGATGCCAATGGAAGCAGCAGTCAGGACATTAGACAACGTGTAGCATTGGGAAGGTCAACCATGAAAGAACTGTTTCAAGTGCTGAGGAGCAAGGATGTCTCCTTGAGGACTAAGGTGTGCCTGACACAAGCCATGATATTTCCAATCGCCTCATATGCATGTGAGAGCTGGACAATTAATAAGGGAGACCGAAGAGGAGTTGATGCTTTTGAGTTGTGGTGCTGGCAAAGAATGCTGAAGGTACTATGGACTGCTAAAAGAACTAACAGATATGTCCTGGAGGAAGTGCAGCTGAGATGCTCCTTGGAAACAAAGATGGCCAGACTTCGTTTCACCTACTTTGGTCATGTTGTAAGAAGGGACCATTCCCTGGAGAAGGACGTCATGATTGGTAAGGCGGAGGGTCGACGAAGGAGGGGAAGACCTTCGACAAGGTGGATTGACATGGTGGCTGCGACAATGGGCTCAAGTATAGCAAGGATCATGGAGCTGGTGCGGGATTGGGCGGTGTTTCTTTCTGCTGTGCATGGGGTTGATAGGAGTCGGAAATGACTCGATGACACTTAACAACAACAACAGGTTGGCAAAACTGACCAATTCCCTTGTTAAGGTTCCATACACCTTAATTGTATGGTCCTGCCCCCACAAAGATTCCATGCACTTTATTTGCATTGTTTGTAAGCTGTCCGATCACTTTTCTGGGCCACAAGCACCTTATTTGCATAGTCCCACGCAATCATTTCATAGGAGTCACAAGATCATGACTGGCTAAAAGGACTATATTAACTAGTTTACTGCAAGGTACATTCCCACCAGCAATGGATGAGGGTTCCAATTTCTCCACATCCTCATTAACATTTGGTGTTTTGCATTATTATTATTATTGCTGTTGCCATTCTAATGGGAATGAGGTGGTGGTTACGTGCATACTTTTGTTTGCGTGACTTTCTGTGAACCCTGTGAGAACACAGACCATGTCTCTCTCATTTGACATAGCTTCCCTGATATTGGCGTACATCAGACCCTCAATTCATGGTTGAGAACGCAAACATCTGGGAGGTATAAAATGTCAGAATGTTGCAGGCTGAGAGTTCTCAGGCCTGGAAGCAATGCTATCTAGTGAGGGTACCTGAGAGGCAGCAGAAGTCACCTTGCAGAGACTTAACTTGTTCTGGAACGATTCGCTTGACCTGCACCCCTCAGCTATGTCAATATGAGCTAAGAGCCTCCCTGCCCCCTGGGAAGGTATGAAGGGCCTGGCTCTTTACCAAGGGAGGGTTAACGAAGTGTTATCTTTGGCACCTCCACCCCCACCTTGATACTGAACAATAACCAGTTTTATGTTGAATCTCTTATTGGTGCCAAACTCTATTTCAGGTGCACAATCGCCACCCATAGAAGGTCACAGCCTTGAGGGGACTGAAATAAACAGGTCAACAGATAAATGAAACTGCTTCTGTGACTGAAATAAAAAAGAAGGCTGGGAGTAGGGGCACCAATGCTCCCTGGGTAGGTCAGGGGGGAATTTGACCAAGGGTTGAAGGAAGTGAGGGAACTGGTTATGGGAAAAGCTGACGGCAGAGCATCCCTGCAGAGGGAACAGCAGGAGCAAAGGCCCTAAGGCAGAACCATGCTTGGCAGTTTGGAGAAAGAAGGCTGGCATGGCTGGAGGTGAGAGGGAGAATGGGGTGAGAGGGCCATAAGATGGGGAGTCGGGAGGAGTCTTGCAGGACAGTGGGGAGCCATGGGAGGCTCTGGGGCACAGAAGGTACAAAGGCTGATCTAGGTCCCAACAGCGCAGCCATAGGGCTGCCTTTTGGAAAATGGACTTTGAGGTAAAAAAAAAAAAAAAAGAACTTCTCTCAAGTCAACTATGATTTTCATGACGATCCCCTCTGTTACAACGTAAAACTGCTTCACAGGGTTTTCTTGTCTGTAATCTTTACGGAAGGAAGTTGATGGGGCTTTCTTCCAAAGTGCCACTGGGTGGGTTTGAACTATCCACCATCCAGAGAGAACATCTGTGCCTTCTCTTTTTCCCCACAGCTATGAGTCCGGCCGACTCGATGGCAAATAACAACAACAACAAGGCCCAGAGGAGCCGTGCCCTCTAGTACCCTAATTTTTACAGACGTGACACCGAGGTTCAGTAATTGCAGAAAACTAAGGTGTGGGTGGGTACCTAGGCCAAAATGGTACCCCAAACCTAATTACTTAATAAAGTATATAATATTGCAACCAAGGGAGGATAGGGAGAGCAATTCAACTGGAGGAACCGGCAGGAGCTGTCTCAGATTACCCAATAAGCAAGGTAGGCACGGGTTTGTGCTTATTGACCAATCTACAGCGATAATTTCACGTTTTTCCACAACAAAGATTCTGTTGGTAGGTATGGCTGGCATCTATCTCTCAATCCCACAGCACCTTCCTATAGAAAGAATCAAAACCTCTGGTGGCATAGTGCCTAAGGCATTTGACTGCTACCAGGCGGCTGGTGGTTCAAACCCACCAGCCACTCCTGGGAAAGATGATTGGGCAATCTATTTCCGTAGTGATATTGTTGTCGGTTTTATGTGCCGTCGAGTCGGAGGCAGTATCACTACGGAAGTAGATTGCCGCATCTTTCTTCCGAGGAGAAGCTCCCTCCGTAGTGCTACTGCCTCAGAAACCCAAGGAGGGGTTGAGTCGGATCCAACTCGACGGCAGTGAGTTTTTTTTTTTAGTTTGACGGAGTTTGTGAAATTGTTCTCTATAAATTAGGAAGTAAGCACAAGAAAGCCTGCGCTTACCTTGCTTATTGAGTAACCTGCTCCCGGGCAGAAGCAAAAATGGAGCAATTGAGCCATCGCGGTTGGATTTTGGCTATATTCAACTCCTAGCCGCTCTGAGCCTCAGTTTCCTCTGCAGACAGAGTAGAGGGTGTTCACTTTTCCCACCCTGTTCCCTCTCATTCTCCCCTTAGCGTTGTGGGGCTCGGAAAGCGCTTTCAAAGGGGAACACGATTGCGAAGCTCTATCTTGACATCCTGAGCGGCATAGTCCCCCTCCCAACTCGGGCCACGGGCTCTGGCGCGCCCTGGCGGCCGGGCAACTCCTGGCCGATGCCGCCGGACCTCGTGTGAAGTCGTGGCCGCCATATTTTATTCGGGCAACTGCCATTTTCGTAAAGACATTGGTATAATCCTACTTGCCCCTCTTGGCTTGTCAATATTTTAAATGTATGACAGTGCTGAGAGTTTGTAAAATATTTGTTTACTGGCGCGGAAAAATATTGGCGGTAAACAGAAGAGTAAAATGATGACGACTTTAGTTTGGACAAGAAGCCTTTGCCGCTTTTCCTTTACCAAGATGGTGACAGCGCTGATACGTCATCAGCGCGCGCCGTGCGCCGCTGGGAGCTCGGAGCGCTGGCCCCTGCGGTGACGTAATGGAGATGCGACCGTGCCGGCGCTGGGAGAAGGAGGTAGGAGCGGCCGCGGCGCGGGAGGAGCCGGGGCGCGGGGCACGAGAGGGCGGGCCCGTGGCGGCGGCTCGGCCTGGGAATCCCTTCTCTCAAGGGTCTGGAGTCAAGGTGCTCAAAGACGGGGTACTTCTGGCTCCCAGTCCCCACGGCCACCGCGCCCCACGCCCATTTTCCGGAGCGGGCGACTGAGGTTTAGAGGGGCAGCGCGGTATTCGAGGCAGCTCGATTCCGGCCCTGCCCCCGAGCAGCTTCTCTTCTAAGGGAACCGAGCTGAGTAGGGACGCCCCTAGCTTCTTACCGTGGGGTCGGGGCTGGCGGAGCCCAGCCGAGGCAGCCGGGAGGGTTTCTTGGAAGAGGCGCATTGAGCTTCATTCTCTCTTCTATCTTTTTCACGTCCACATCCACTGGGTCACCTGGACGGATCGTGATTTTACCCTTAAATGTCCCCTGGCCCAGCCTGGGTCACTCCCTGATTACCCTGAGTCTGCCTCACAACGACCTCAAATTCTCTGTTGGACCCGCAGATCTGAGCCTCTCCATCTCTAATGCTCGCCGTGCCTTCTATTACACTGGACTATAAATTCATTCCATTTCACAGCTTTTCTCTCAGATGGCTCCTCAGGAAGCTTTTTGATGCCCGAGGCTGGGTCAGAACCACCCTCCACCCTCACTCATCACAGCTTAGATCAGTTGTAACTCCTGGTCCCTTACCTGTATCTTCCAGTGCCCTGGAGTCTCAGGCAAGTGGAAGTCTGTCTGAGCCAACTCAGTGGCCCACACATAGGTACTTAGTTTGTTGCACACGTTTGTTGAATGACAGAAAGTGTGTGTGTGTGCATGTGTGTGTGAGCGAGTGTTTGCCGTATGGATAAGGACAGGTGAGAATGTCTCAGCATGAACAGGGGATCGAAGACCTCTCAGCCTTGGGGATAGATTTGGGGAACTTGGCCTGTGGTACCTCCAGAGCAGGTAGGGTTTTCACAGGAGAAGGGGGCAGGGAAGTGGTTATGTATCATGAGCAAAGGCTCAGAGAGGCTGAAGACAGAGGAGAGTGGGCAGAGCAGGGAAGAATTGACTTTGGAAACAACACAGTGTGTGCAGTATTAAATACTGAGGGAACCCTGGGAAAAGACACTTTTTCATTCATTGGTTGAAAATGTGTATTGAATCTCTGGTCTGTTGTGACAAGGCAATCCTAGCCCTGCCCCTGTGGTGCCCACAGCCAGGTGGGGAAGCTGGACATTTGTTAAATAATTGTGTACACGAACATAAAAACAAGCCACATAGATGTCTCAAAGTCTGTGGTCTGGGGAAAGAGTGATGGGGGGTGGGGGGAAGTGTCAGAAGGCTTCCTGGGGATGGCAACACCTGAACTGGTCCTGAAGTTTAAGTAGGAGTTAAGGAAACCGGTTGCCCTGGAATGGATTTCTGTCTTATGGTGACTCAACGTGTGTCAGAGTAGAATTGTTCCGTAGGGTTTTCAAGCTGTGCGCTTTCAAAAGCAGATCACCAGCTTTTCTTCCCAGGCACCTCTGGGTGGCTTGGATCCACCAGTCTTTCGGTGAGTAGCCAGGCACTTAACCAGGGACTCCTGACTGGATAAAGGAGAGCAAAAACTATCCAGGCAGAGGGCACAGCATGTGTAAATGCCCTGGGTGGAACTTGCTTGGTGTGTTTGAAGAAGGCTGGTATTGCTGCTTCTGAATGAATGAGGGGGAGAGACGGAGAGGAGGGGCCAGGGGTTTTCTGTTGGATACATCACGGAGGCTTAGTTATGAGCACTTGGCTCAGGGGGCCAAGGAGCAGCTGGGAGCAGTGCCAGATCAGCTGGTATACTCTGGCCTTTGAAACAGCTCTTGCACCCTGTGTGAGGAGGGACTGGAATTATGCCCACATCTCGGATGAGGAAACCAAGGCTTGGGGAAGCACCTCAGCCCTGGCTGCAGAGTGAGAGCTCAAACCTGAGTCCCGTGGGTCCACACTTCCTTACCCATTTCTGCCCACTCCATCTGTGCAGCTCTCTCTCCAGTCTCAGCCTGAAATGTGGGGTGGGGTGGGCACCCCTCCATGTGGAGTGAGGGGATCCAATGGTCTCAGAGTCCTGATCTGCCTTGATGTTCCCTGAGGTCTCTCCCTAGTTAGGAGCCTGGAGTTGGCACTCAGCATCCTGGGCCTCCACTAACCAGCATGTGGGCTGGGCTTATCACTTACCCTTTCTCACCTCCTCTAACCAGCATGTGGGCTTGGGCTTATCACTTACCCTCTCTAAACCTCAGGTTCCTCATCTGTAAAATGGGGGTAAAAGTACCTGCTTTGGGACTGCCTGGGGGATGAAATGGTTTGGTGTGCACCTGACACAGAAAGTCAGCCTGCATTTTGGTTATTACTGTGCAGCCCGGTCCTATCTGACCTCAGAACTCCATCTCAACCCCCTGCATTCGTGATTTGGTTAGTGTTTTGCCCCAAACCCAAACCCCTCATCTGCCCACATGGGGGTCTGGTGGATACAGCAGCTGGAGGGAGCTTACCAATTGCTGTTGAGTCAGCCTCAACTCATGGTGACTCCATATGTGTCAGGGAGGGAACTATGTTGCATAGGATTTTCAGTGGCTCATTTTTTGGAAGTAAATTGCCAAGTCTGTCTTCTGAGGAGACTCTTTGTGGACTCAAACTTGCAGCCTTTTAGTTAACAGCCGATCACTAGAACCATCTTTACCACCCAGGGAGGGGATTTAAACCAAAACCAAACCAGTTGCCATTGAGTTGATCTGACTCACAGAGACCCCATGTATAATTGAGTAGAAGTGTTCCATAGGATTTCCAAGGCTGTGACCTTTTGGAAGCAGAGCTCTAGTTCTTTCTTCTGAGGCATCTCTTAGTGGGTTCAGCTTGCCAACCTTTAGGTTCAAGTGCTTAAGGAAAGGGGCTGGGACCACTTAAATCAAAACGTGCCCATGCCTTGCTTAAAGCTGTCTTTCGGCTCCTTGTTTCTTTTAGGATAAAATACATGCCCTTCCTCAGCCCACAAGACACTGCTGCCCCTTTCCCCTCCACTTCCCTCTCACTCACACACTCCTCAGTGGCTGACACGCAGACACGCTGCTGTTTGCAGCACACAGCTGGGTTTCTGCTACAGGGCCTTTGCACATGCTGGGCCCTTGGCCTGGAATTCTCCCCCTCCCCTCGCAGGGCTAGCCCACCTGCTCTCAGACCTCTGGTTCATCATGAGAGTGGACCAAGATGCTGTGCATGAAGCACTAAGCCTGCACAAGCACCTGCCACAAACAGGAAACAGGCTTTCCAACAGCGCTTGCAGATGGGTGGGGGCTGTCCAGCAGTCCCGGATGAGCCTGGCCCCATGCGGCCTCCCCTTCATTCTCAGTGGATGGACCTGTTTCTCCAGGGTTCAGTAAGTGACTGAACTGGATATGTTCAGGGTCAGAGGAGGACAACTCACAGGGAGGAGCACCTGCCCATTTCCTGGGTGAGGGAAACTGAGGCCCAGAGAACAGAAGGCACTTATCCTGGACCGCCACTTAAATTCCAGAGGGGTTACTCTTAATTTCTCAGCCACATGGCCTCCCCACTTACCTGAGAAGTGAGACCCTAGGCTCCCCCGTCATGCTCCATGACCTGGACAGGTGTTTCTGTCTCACCGTCTTGAAGTGGGAGTAATGACAGTCCCTCATTTAAGGGCTTGGGGGGACTTGGTTAGTTTGGTTAAAGTGCTTGGCAGAGAGCCACTGTAGGATAGGCTTTCATCTCCCCAGAGCTCAGCAGATACCTGGCCCAGGCCAGGTGCCCAGTGGACAGTGGGTTTCCTTATCGTCACAACCTCTCCCAGCATGGTAGGCCTGGGCTGGCTGTCAGAGGCAGGTCATGGTGGCTGCTTGTCCAGGGTGATGAGATGTAAAAAATGGCATGCTGGAGGCATCTGACCTTTAACTTCACCAGGAGAAGAGAGAATCACCAGCAGCAGCAGTAGCCCGAGGCTGCTTTCTATGAGGCAGAGGTCAGACATACCTCCCCTCAGCAACCTTTTCACCATTTCTGACTTCTCTCCCTCCCAGCACTCTTGACTTCTCTGCTGCATTCGATAATTTGTTGCAATAGCTATACAGAACTCAGGGCAATATTCAGGAGTTTATTAAGGAAGTAACAGGTTACAATTCAGGATCACAAACAACTCAGGATACAGTTCTTTGATCAGGACAGCCTTTCTGAGCAGTGCCTGTCGGAATGCCTCTCGCCCCATGGCCTCTAACCTGCTTGGGCCAGTGTTAAAAAGCTGTTTTAGCTCTGCCAGTAAGTGCCCAGAGGCATCCCACGCCACAGGTAGGCCGCTGCCCAAAGACGCCCAGCTCTAGCTCTGTGGGTTCGTAAATGTAGTTCTACCACGTACCCAGAGGCACCCCGCTCCTCCAGCGAGCCTCCTGCCTGAAGGCTCTCAGCTTTCTCTGTGGGTGGTTGTGGGAGACCACACCATCTCCAGCTGGTCTCCTGGTTCTGCTGCCACCGCTCCGCACCATCTTGCCAATGCTAAAAGCTCTCTCTGTCACCTGGGTTGAGGAAGTTCCCAGCACAAGGACCCCAAGTCCAAAGGACATCTGCTTCCATCTGTTCTTGGTGGTAGTGAGGTCCCCCCTTTCTGCCTCTGGG